TTATTTCTATTTCTATTATTTCTATTTCTATTATTTCTATTTCTATTATTTCTATTTCTATTATTTCTATTTCTATTTCTATTATTTCTATTTATTTCTATTTATTTTTATTTCTATTTCCTATTTCCATCCCATCCCTTCCCATCCCATCCTATCCCTATCCTATCCACATCTGGACACAGCCATGGTCACTGGAAAACACCAGTAGCAAACCTGTTTATATTCTTTCCAGGTTTTTTGGAAGCTAACACTGCCGTTGATCCGGCGTTGAATGACCGTCCAGCCTCCTCCATCGGTTTCCATGTCGCAAAAGGCCTGGAAAGGTAGAAAGGAGAAGCAATAAAGGGAGAAAAGGAAACAAGGCAAGAAGAAATAACCAGCTTGAAATGTACAGAGTGGTCAACAGGACTTTTGATTGATTGTTGGAAAGAAGGACAGGTCAGAAGGTGGATCTATGTCAGGGTTTCCCAACTTTACGCATTTTAAGAGATGTGGACTTCAACTCCCAGAACACCCCTGGCAGATGGCTAAGGTAGGGAAATACTGGTCTATGTGGTTGCTATATGGTTACATCTCAAGTAGATTGGACAGAGATGGTATCAGGTCTCCTGCGTTGAGCAGAGAGTTGGACTAGAAGATCTCCAGGGTCCCTACCAGCTCTATGATTTTGTTTCTATGATTCTACAATTCTACAATTCTATGATTCTATGTTTCTGTGCCAGCATTGACCTGATGGCATATGATCATTCAGCCATCCATCCATCTATCCGTCCCAACTCAACCCAACCCAACCCAACTCAACCCATTAAACTAATCCAACCAACCAACCCAGCTCAACCCAACCCACCAAACCAAACCAAACCAACCAAACCATCCCAACCCAACCCAACCCAACCCAACCCAACCCAACCAACTAACCAACCAAGCCAGCCAACTAACCCAACCCAACCAACCTAATCCAACCAATGAACGAACCAACCAACCCAACCATCCAACTAACCCAACCTAGCCCAACCCAACCCATCCCAACCCAACCAACTAACTAACCAAGCCAACCAACTAACCCAACCCAACCCAACCCAACCAACATAATCTAACCAATGAACAAACCAACCACCCCAACCATCCAACTAACCCAACCAACCCAACCCAACCAATTAACCAACCAACTAACCCAACCCAACCAACCTAACCCAACCAATGAACGAACCAACCAACCAACCCAACCATCCAACTAACCCAACCAACCCAACCCAACCAATTAACCAACCAAGCCAACCAACTAACCCAACCCAACACAACCAACTAACCAACCAAGCCAACCAACTAACCCAACCCAACCCAACCAACTAACCCAACCCAACCCAACCCAACCCAACCAATGTAACCTAATCAATGAACAAACCAACCAACCCAACCATCCAACTAATCCACCCTAGCCCAACCCAAACCATCCCAACCCAACCAACTAACCAACCAAGCCAACCAACTAACCCAACCCAACCAACGTAACCTAACCAATGAACAAACCAACTAACCCAACCATCCAACTAACCCAACCAACCCAACCCAACCAATTAACCAACCAAGCCAACCAACTAACCCAACCCAACCCAACCATCATAACCCAACCAATGAACGAACCAACCAACCCAACCATCCAACTAACCCAACCTAGCCCAACCCAAACCATCCCAACCATCCAACTAACCCAACCCAACCCAACCAACTAACCAACCAAGCCAACCAACTAACCCAACCCAATTCAACCCAACCCAACCCAACCAACCTAACCCAACCAATGAACGAACCAACCAACCCAACCATCCAACTAACCCAACCGAGCCCAACCAACCAACTAGATTCATCTAATCTTTGGGTCAACTGACCTTTTTGGGTTCAGTCAGATTGTTAATGTGGAGTGTGTAAACCCCACTGAGGTTGAATCCAGATTGAAGGATGTCCATGCAGTCCTGGAACAGCCGGTCTTCTTTTTTCAGAAGAACTGTTGAAGGAAAAACAAAAATCGCTGCAGATTTTTGGATCGAAGAAGAGGCGCATCCATTTCATTGAAACAAAATGGTGAGACGGGTGGGGGGAAAGTTTTGGAACTACTCGGAGGTGGACTGTCAATTTAATAAAACCATCTCTTCCTTTGGATGTACAAAGAAGGTACCTTTTCCTTCGGAGACTAAGGAGACCAAATTCTGGACCGATTCCAGGAGCTGCAGCTGCTGTTGCTGAAGAAGGCTGGCGTTACTGCTGGCGACATGAAGGGACTTCTCCAGACCTTCTATTGTGTTGCTCTGGTGGCTCACCAGCTGCTGGAGCTGGTCCTTCTCGGTCCGAATGTCCTCCAGCTCCTTCAAGTGCTTCGTTTCCATCTGCCGGACTCGAGTTTCTAAGATGCTGCAGAGACGGGAAGATGGTCACAGAGAGAACTGAGAATGACTAGTCCAGCATGGCTGATTGAGGAATTCTGGGAGTTGAAGTCCACAAGCTTTGAAGTTGCCAAGTTTGAAGACCCCCGGTGTAGTCTAATGAAGAGAAGGACTAGGGGTGATGTGATAGCCCAATATCTCAGGGGCTGCCACAAGGAAGAGGGGGTCAAGCTATTCTCCAAAGCACCAGAAGGCAAGAGAGGAAGCAACAGATGGAAACTAACCAAGTAGAGAAGCAACATGGAACTAAGGAGGAATTTCCTGACAGGGAGGACAATTAACCAGTGGAACTGCTTGCCTCCAGAAGTTGTGGGTGCTCCATCACTGGAAGTTTCTAAGAGGAGATTGGACAACAATTTGACCAGGATGGTGTAAGGCTCTTGTCTTGAGCAGAGGGCTGGACTAGAAGATCTCCAAGCTCCCTTCCAATTCTTATTCTGTACCCTAATCAGTGNGTTATCCAACATCTTCTTAAAAACCTCTCACTTGTCCTCACTGTCAGGAAATTCCTGCTTAGTAGTTCCAAGTTGCTTCTCTCCTTGATTAGTTTCCACCCAGAGTTGGAAGGGGCCTTGGAGGTCTTCTAGTCCAACCCCAAGCACCAGAAGGCGCAGGACAAGAAACAATAGTTGGAAACTAATCAAGGAGAGAAGCAGCCTAGAATTAAGGAGAAACTTCCTAACAGTAAGGGCAATTAACCAGTGGAACGGCTTGCCACAAGAAATTGTGGGAGCTCCATCAGTGGGTGTTTTTAAGAAGAGACTGGACAGTCACTTGTCTGAAATGGGAAAGGGTCTCCTGCTTGAGCAGGGGGCTGGACTAGAAGACCTCCAAGGTCCCTTTCACCTCATTCCTACTTCTATTCCATTCCATTCCATTCTCTGTTCTGTTCTATTCTTCCTATCCTTCCTATCCTCTTCCACTCCACTCCACTCCACGTTACTCTACTCTACTCTACACTACTCTATTCTACATTATAACAGAGTAAGAAGGGAGACCAGAGATTTTCTAGTCCAACCCCTTCCTCAAGCAGGAAGACCCTCTACCGTTCCAGAAAATTTGTCCAGTCTCTTCTTAAAAACCTCCAGTGATGGGAGAACTCACAACCTCTGGAAGGAAGCCGTTCCTATGATTAATTGCTCTGGGATTACAGAAGAACAGAGTTGGGAGGGACCTTGGAGGTCTTCTAGTCCACCCCGCTGCTCAAGCAGAAGACCCTATATACCATTTCAGACAAATGGCTGTCCTATTTCTTCTTTAAAACCTCCAGTGATGGAGGACGCACAACCTTTAAGGGAAGGCATTCCACTGGTCAATTTTCACTCTCAAGAAGTGGGCCGATGGTGGAGATGTCCACTCTCCCTCATCCAGGAGCTGCTTTCCTCCACCTTCACCTCTTTGAGATGTGTGGACTGCAACGGACCCTTCTGAGACCCCCCCCAAAAGCTTCCATTCTCCAAGAAGCCCCTATTTGAGTCAACACAAAAACTGGATGGGGAACGCCAAGGACTCTTGTCCCCTATAGCAATTGTGACTCAACACCCAAGGATTGTGCTGAAGCGTGGAAATCAGAATTGCGTGCAGGAGGGGGAGCTGGCGCCCTTCCTTTGCCGGGGGGGGGGGAGCTGGGGTGTGTGACACAGACCCCCCCCCAAAAAAAACCTCGTATCGCGAACTGATCTGACCTCATCCCATCCAAACTTCCAGAGATATGCTTGATTAAGACACAGCGGTTTTGCTGGAGGGGCAAACTGGGTAATTAAAAGGAGCTCAAAAACAGCCCCCCCTTCTGTCTGCTGGGATCGCACCCCCCCACCAAGGGAACTGCAGTTGGCAGGTGCCAATCGTTCTCCTCAACTGGGTGCCCTGCCAGGACTCACAGCTCGGAGACACCAATGACCCAATTCCTGCTCCAAATCAAAACAACACCTCTCTCTCCCTCTCCCCACCCGCTCTTCTCCAGAAGCTCCTCTTTCCCCACCCCTGGTAATTATGCACGATGAGCAGGTTCTGAGGTCTTGCACAGCTTCGGGCTGGTTGATGTCCCAATATTGGCATTGTTGCCAAGGAAGATGTTGGTTGCCAAGAGCTCTCAGGTGGTGCCCAAGTGATCAATCAGGTGTGGCAGGTTTTTGCACGGAGAGTTTTCGGTAGGCCCGTCTTCCACATGTTGGGATCCTCTGAAAAGGGCCATCCCCAAGTACAGGGGGTCAAATTATTCTCCCAAACACCAGAAGGCGGGAGAAGAAGCCACAGATGGAGACTCATCAAGGAGAGAATCAACCTGGAATTAAGGAGGAATTTCCTAAAAGAACCATCGGCCACTGGAACAGCTGGCCACCAGACGTTGTGGGTGCTCCGTCACTGGAGGTTTTTAAGAAGATGTTGGACAGCCACTTGTCTGTCATGGTAGATAAAGGTTCTCCTGCCCCAACAGGGGGCTGGACTGGAAGACCTCCAATTCTGTTACTTTGTTTTGGAAGGAAGAGTGGGATATAAATACGTAGTATGCTTTTCAACTGGGTTTCAGAATTTGATTTAACAAATAAACCAGCTGACAGGAGACTTCCGGGGCTAGGAAGGCTGAAAGTCAGACTTTAAAGCAGGGGGAAGGAAGGGTGGCCCTTTCATGGCCTCTGGACCCACTCCCAGAATCCCCTAGTCACTTTCATGCCATATTTTTCGAGCTTGGCGAGTTGACGTGGAAAAACTGGGTAGAAGTCACTTTTTTCAGTGTCACAATATTGTATTCATTGTCAGAGATGATTCATAGACAAGAGAGAGAGAGAGAAAGAGAGATGATAGAGAGATAGATTGATAGATTGATAATATAAATAATAGATGATAGACGTATATTAGACAGATAGATAGATAGATGATATAGATANGAAGGGGCCTTGGAGGTCTTCTAGTCCAACCCCCACCCACAGGATCCACGTTATCAGTGGAGGACATTTACAAGTTGCCTCTTCACCCCCATTTAGCCTGCCGGGAGTCCTTGTTTACCCAGAACCAACTCCTGGCACGCCCTTCTCCTTCACAGGGTTGCCTCTTCTGGCTGCCCTGCGGGCAAAGGCAGATTATTTTGAGCTTTTCTGTCCTCCAGCCAACCACCGTTTCAGCTCCATGGTTTGGTCTTCAGGCTGGCATCCCTTGGCAAAGAACCAGCCAACCACCAGCCTTTCCGTGGAACAACCAGTGCCCTGAAGGGACCCCGCTGAGCGGTGGGAACTCACTAAAGGCGGGGAGGGAGTTAACTCTGCCTCCAGCAGTGCCATCCAGGTAATAAAGGCTGCTGGAAATCTTCTCTTGGGTTGGCAACGCCCAGGGTGTGCCAGGCACAAGGCTTGGCTTTCAGTGCAAGGGCTCAGAAGAGCTGACGGGCAACATCGCCGCTGCCAGGACTTCACAGGCGCAGGGAACAATGGGCTCCGTGCGCCCTCAGGGGAAGGTGTCTTGTGATGCCTGCTTGCCCCAGGCGGTGCCCACATGCTGCAAGCAACGCCTTGGTTCCTTCGTGATTTTTAGACCTCGTCTAGTTGGGGGGCCTTTGGGATATTCGGCTGCAAACCAGCTGGATTCACCATACAGACCAGGCGCAAATGTGGAGGCCGGTTAATGTGTCCGTAGAAGCTGCAGGGGAAAGAGTGGCAGGACCAGGGGGGGTGGAGTCAAAAGGGGAATCAGCCTAGAATCTCCACGTAGCCACAAGCGGCCTAACCTACAACCTCCCTTGGATTCTGTGGGGAGCCTTCTCCCAGCAGGGGCTGAGCATTCGTTCAGAAGTTTCCTGTGCATGGGCTTTCAGCCGTAAATCAGTTTAATTCCACCTTCTGATGTGGGCCTGGAACTTTTGCACCTGACAAGGTGGGAAGGAGAGGAAGGAGATGGGAAGGAGGGAGGAGGCAAGGAGATGAGGAATGAGAGGGAGGGAGGGAGGGAGGAGGTGAGGATGAGAAAAAAGGAAGAGAAGAAAAAAGGAAGGAAGGAGATGAGGATGAGAAAAAAGGAAGAGAAGGGAAAGGAAGGATGAGGATTAGAAAAAAGGAAGAGAAGGGAAAGGAAGGAAGGTAATGAGGATGAGAAAAAAGGAAGAGAAAGAGGATGACGAAGGAAATGGGAAATGAGAGGAAGGAAGGAGATGGGGAATGAGGAAGGAAGACAGGAAGGAAGGAAGAAGGAAGAGAAAATAGAGGGAGGGTGGAAGGAAGGAGGGAGGGAGGAGGGAGGGAGGAAGCAAGGAGATGAGGATGAGAAAAAAGGAAGAGAAGAAAAAAGGAAGGAGGGAGATGAGGATTAGAAAAAAGGAAGAGAAGGGGAAGGAAGGTAATGAGGATGAGAAAAAAAGGAAGAGAAAGAGGATGAGGAAGGAAATGGGAAATGAGAGGAAGGAAGGGGATGGGGAATGAGAAAGGAAGGAAGGAAAAAGAAAGAAAAAATGGAGGGAGGGTGGAAGGAAGGGAGAGGAAGGAGGGAGGGAGGAATGAAGGCAAAGGGAGGGAGGAATGATGGAAGGAGATTGCACCTGACAAGATGGGAATGAAAGGAAGAAAGGAAAGAAGAGGAAGGAAGGAGGAAGAATGAGAGGAAGGAAGGAAGAGATGGGGAACAAGAAGAATGAGAAGTGTAAGAGAAGCGGTGGTAGCACCTTGTGATGGAGTCAAAAGAGGAATCTGCCTGGAAACCCTACATAGACACAAGCTAGAAAACTGAAATCCAACTTCCCTTGAATCCCGCCAACCCTTCTCTTACTCCTATCAAGCGGCTACCCATCGGTCAGTTGGATTGCCCTTTCCCTTGGGGACAGAGGGGGGGTCTTTTGCGCCTGACACAAACCGAAGATAAGGAAGAGGATTTCTGGAATCCCTTCCGAAGGGATGCAGCCCAGGGGAAGGTTGATTCTGGCGGATGACCTGGATGGGTGGATAAGAATAAAATGAAATAGCACAGTGTGGGGGGGGGGGGACGACACAAAACACACCCCAGAGATCTCATCAGAATCGGAGCCTCTTTGAAGATTCTTGGGCGAGGAAAAAGGCGTGGGTTGCTTTGCAAAAGAAGGCTTAGGCATAAATCTCCAGGTATGTGAACACAACAAAGGAAAAACCATTCCTGATTCTGGTTTGGTTGGTTATGGTGAAAGGCGGAGAGAATTAAGCCAAGAATTCAAAGCTGGTGAGAAGGCCCAAGAAACCATTAGGGCAAATAGATTTTCGGTAACAACTTTATCAAAAAAAGATGGCTATGGGAGGAAGGAAAGGGAGGGGGGAATCAGAACGGGGACCTGTTCTGATCTAGGCTTCCCCAAAAAGTATGAAGCAGAGTCCTGGTCCCGNGAAAGAAAGTCAAAAATTGAAGGAAGGAAGGAAGGGAAAGTGAGAAGGGCTGGAAGGAAAGAAGACAAAAATTGAAGGAAGGAAGGAAAGAAAGAGAGAGTCTTCCTTCTCCCCTGGTGCTCACTCTGTCTCTCCCCCCCCCCTCCCTCCGCGCAGGATCTGGTGAGCCTGAAGATCCCGGAGCAGTTCCGTCACGCCATCTGGAAGGGCATCCTGGACTACCGGCAGCTGCACGACTTCTCCTCCCCACCGCACCTCCTGCGCACGCCCAGCGGCGCCTCCACGGTCAGCGTGGGCTCCAGCGAGGCCCGGGGCGAGCGGGTGATCGACGCCGTGCGCTTCACGCTCCGCCAGACAATCTCCTTCCCTCCCCGCGACGATTGGAACGACTTCAACTTCGACCTGGATGCGCGCCGGAACAAGCAGCAGCGCATCAAAGAGGAAGGGGAGTGAAGCCCACCCCCGACTCCCCTGCGCTCCGGCCAGCCCAAGGACCCTCCCCAACCCGAGGGTCTCCCCACTGCTCTGATTTCTATTCCGGCACCCCCCCTGACCGAATCGGCAGGAGGGGAGCCGAGCGGCATGCCGCAAACTCCCGTGGCTTTTGACCTTCAAGCGTTTTCTGTGCTTTGGCTTAAGAAGCTGACCGTTGTGTTGTTGTTTTAATCAGTCACAGCTAGGGGAGGGGGGGTTGCGAATGTGTGCGGGTGTGAGGGCTGGGTGACTTTTACGGTTAAGAGTAAGGAAGGCCCCCTCCCCACCAAACATTTGTCTTTCCACATTTCTGGGAGGTTACCAACTCTTTGGCCAACTTGAGTGCGTCTAGTTGTTGTTTCCAACCACAAGTTGTGGCTTGGTCTTTCCCAGAATATTTGCATGGGTCTTTTGTGGAATCGATCGGTTTCTGGTGCTTTGGGATCCTCATTTTAGAGCAGGGGGTCCAATCTTGGCAACTTTAGAAGCTTGTGGACTTCAACTCCCAGAATTCCTCTGCCGGCACTACAGAGACTACAGAGAAAGGGATGACAAGAGAGTTAAACTAGGCCACAATGGGGATGCACATGCAAAAGATGTGCATTCGTGTCCGGGAATTTTGGGGAGGGGATTCTGGGAGGAAGGCAGGCAGGCAGGAAGGGGAAGTTGTTCAACTCTGGGAGTTGAAGTCCACAAATCTTAAAATGTTGTCCATCGTTTAACCACAAAGTTACCGATTGGCTTCTCTGCTTTTGAATGTTCAAATCGGAAAGACGAGAACTTTCCAGATAAGACAAGATGTGGTGGAGGTTAGTTGCATGCGGTAGGTGTTTCAGCAGCACCCTGGTCCCTTCCGTTGCAGCCACATGGGTAGGATGGTCCCTCCTGTGCATTAAGGAGACGACCGCCAAATTTACCGGACTCCGAGTCGCTGGAAAACCATATCTTTGTGTTTGATTCTCGACGTTTTTTGCTTTGCACCAGAAAAAATGGATGCTCTGTTGTTTTTTTCTTTCGTTTTTTTTCACCCTAGCTGCAATAGCCACATAGGTGTAGTAGCCACACCGTGTAGTAGCAACAGCCTCTAGTAGCAATAGGCACATAAAGTGCTGGGAAGTGAGATGGTTGGGATCCCCTGGGAGGAAGTCGGTCACACAGGTTGAGGGGCAAGGGGGGGGGGGCTTCTCCCAGTAGCCCAGAACCACACACCACACACCCCCAGACTGCCTGGAGGAGAAACACTGTTGTGGTTTCCATAGTTATGGCTTCTTTGCTCACGCTAGTGCAAAGGTGAGCCACAGGGTTAGCCCTTCCCCTCAAGTCCCCATTTCTGAATTTAAGACCCTTTTCCCAGGTTCAGAATTTTAAGGTCATGTTGTATTTCCTGGGTGGGTGGCGGGATAAGGAGGAGGGTCGCTTGGGAAAGAGGGGGGGGTCTTTCCTTTGGTTGGGAGCGCCCCCCCCCCACCNTCGGCTGTTCAAATCTCACCGGCTCAAGGTTGACTCAGCCTTCCATCCTTCCGAGGTGGGTGAAATGAGGACCCGGATTGTTGTTGGGGGCAATAATGCTCACTCTGTAAACCGCTTAGAGAGGGCTGAAAGCCCTATGAAGCGGTATATAAGTCTAACTGCTATTGCTATTGCTAGTGCAAGTGTTCAAGACAAGCTGACTTCCTCTGGCTACAGACCTGAACTTCTCCAGCTGGCATTTCGGGCCTGAGAACCTCTGGAGAAGCTCCCCATAGGTGCCGCCCTCCAAAAAACCAGCTGCCCAGCTGCCTTGCTCCCCAGATCCTCTCCCCCCGCCCCCAATCTCCCTTCCCTTTGGGCTAAAGGCAGCTGGCTTTTCCCCAGCCTTCCCCCAACGTGCTGCTTTCCCAGTAGCTGGGCGCTGCTCCAGTTGCCCAATCCCTCTGGGTCCCACCCTGCCCAGGGCGGGGCGGCGTGTGGGATAAAACTGGATTCCTGCAGCGCTGGGGAGTCTACCTCCCAGGGATAGATTTAATAATCCGTTGTCTTCCATCGCAAAGCCACGCATTGTAAATAAATCTTTCATCCTGGCAAGGCGTGGCGGGGAGGGGCCCTGGCGGGACGCTCGCAGGTTTTTCCCAACCCCGAAGATGGTTGCTTCCCCCATCCTGGAGCTGCAGGGCCCAGGGAGGGGCCACTCCGCCTGGGGGGTGGGTGGGGAGGGGGCTCCCTTCGCCAGGTGGACCTCCGATGCCATCCCAGATGAAGCAAACGTTCCCCCCCCCCCACACCCTCCCGTCACCTCCTCCCTGCAGAAGGAACCTATAGAGAAAGAACAGTATATATTCAAAAGTCAGATACAAAAATAGGAGAAAACACAATCAGGATAGATTTGAGAAGGAAAGGCGACAAGAAATGATATTTAACTATTTTGGGGTTGCAGAAATACCACCCCAAGAAAATAAAAATCAAGAGACGCCTACAACAATAGAAAAAGAAAGGAAGAGAGCAGGAGAGGAAGGAAGGAAGATAGAGGTAAGGAGAGGAAGATGGAAGGGAGAAGGAGAGAAGGAGAGAGGGTGGGAAGGGGAAGAGGAAGAGAGGAGTAGGGGAGAGGGAAGGGGAAAAAAGGAAAGGAGAGGAGGAAGGAAGAAAGTATAGAAGCGAGGGAGGGAGAAAAGAAAGGACCTACAACAATAGAAAAAGAAAGGAAGAGAGGAGGAGAGGAGAGGAAGAGGAGGGAAGGAAGATAGAGGTGAGGAGAGGAAGATGGAAGGGAGAAGGAGAGAGGGTGGGAAGGGGAAGAGGAACAGAGGAGGAGGGGAGAGGTAAGGGACAAAGGAAGGGGAAGGAGAGGAGGAAGGAAGGAGAGAAAGAGAAGGAGATAGGGTAGGAAGGGAAGGAGGAAGGATGAGTAGGAGGAAGGGAAGGGAAGAAGGATGGGGAAGGAGAGGAGGAACGAAGGAAGAGGTTAAGGAGGGTGGAAGGGAGAGAAAGAGAAGGAGAGAGGGTAGGAAGGGGAAGAGTAGGAATAGGAGAGAGGTAAGGGAAGAAGGAAGGGGAAGGAAAGGAGGGAGGAAGGAAGCAGAGAAGGGAGGGAGAAAAGAAAGAGAAAAGAAGGTGGTGTCAAAACAGGCAGAAGGGATGGTAAACAAAGCAACCCAAGCAGTATATTATAACCCTGAGAATGGAATGACAAATGTATAAGAACGATGAATGTAAAAAAAGAATAATAACTATGGGAATAATAGTAAATGTAATTGTGTATAGAGAACAAAAAAGAAAAGACATAGAAAGAGCGCCACCTGCTGGTGACTGGAGGAAAAATGCACCCCAAGCACCGAAGGACCTTTTGAGGCTGGTTCAATTAATGTATTTTTCAGAGTATAAGACGCTCCACAGTATAAGACGCACCTTAGCTTTTGGGGAGGAAAATAAGTTTTTTAAACAATTCTGCCTCTGCCAACCAGCATCCCACGGTGTTTATCGGGCGAGCGTCCTTTTCAAACCCCCTGCTCAACTTCAGCACATCGGTTCGCTGGTTGTGAGCACTTTGCTCCCACATGCCGTGGTGGGGCTGATCCGACGCTTCAAAAACACAGCTGATTGTCGGCTGGAGCCCCAGTGAGTAAAGCAGGAGGCGGTCAGACAAGGCAGCAGCTGTCCCGGGTTGCCGTTTTGGCCCCCACACCTCGCACTTTCAGCCTCCAAATGCTCCGTTTGAGATCCGCTGAAGGGTGCGGGGATCTCCACAGCATATCGCTGATGATCACTGCCCGAAAACGCGATGCGCAGAGTCCAAAAATGGGGTGCGCAGAGGGCAAAAACACGATATGCGGAGATGGTGATTGGCGGCGATGTGCTCTGGCGATCCCTGCGGCCTTGAACGGGTCTCAAACGGAGCTTTCAGATGCTGAAAATGCGAGGCACAGAGGGCAAAAATGCACGCCACAGAGGAGGCGATGGTCTGTTGCAATCCCTGCAGCCTGGAACGGGTCTAAAACATGATGCACGGAGGCCGAAGGGTGGGACTGGGGGGTAGGCAGAGCTATATTCGGAGTATAAGATGCACCCAAATTTCCACCCTCTTTTTTTGGGGGGGGAAGTGTCTTGATACTCTGAAAAATACGGTAACTGTAAATGTCAATTCGCGAAGCAACCCTGACCTGCTCTCGAGTTGCCATAGGGGTTGCTACCGGTACGCACCAGTTCGGGCAAACTGGTAGTGGTAATTAGGCCTGGGTCACAGAACCGGCAGTGACCCAGGCTGGCCACACCCCAGAACCAATTCCCTTAGTCGCCACTGCCTTTGCCAGCATGTCTTTTAGCTGCGCACGGGTACACGGTTCGCAGTAAATTGTTCTGTGCATGCGCGATTTGAACCGGCAACAACACTGGTAGGAACCCACCCCTGAGCAGAGGGATGGGGAAAACTGAGCCTCGCAGCTGCGGCAAGGCACTGGCATTTCAGTCAAAACAAAGCACATTCCAACCAGCACATCAAGGTCATCTCCAGGGAGGCCCACAGTGGCCGAAGGGATTGATTTGTACAACCCTCGAAATTGCTTCCGTTGGGGAATGTGACTGATGACACACCTTGGGGGGGGGGAAGGGGGAAACAGGGTCAGAGTCGGGGCGCGGATTAAGTGAGGTCAGAGCCGGCTTCACTTGGTTGTTACCGACATGAAGCTCCTAATAAAGAACTGGATTTCTTTTGAAACTTGGCTCAAGGCTCCTGATTTAATTAAGGCATCGGTTGGAACTGTGACACTAAGGCAGGTTGAAGGGCTCGTCCCCCACTACACCCCAAGCTGACGCCCAGAGTCTGTGGGGGAGATGTCGGGATTGGAAAAAGCACGGGGTAAGTACAGGCAGTCCTCAACTTATGACCATGGACCCATTTAGCAACATTTTCTATTGCTAGACGGGACGATAAACAGGTACTTTCCGTTGCTAAGCGGGACCTTTCTTGAGTGAGTTTTCTCCTATTTTATGACCTTTCTTGCCAC